GCAGGTATAATAGTTCTATTAAAACTGATGAGCATGTTATATCTCTATATTGCTTTTCATAAATAAATAGATATGTTTAGCACAAGAGTTTTGATGGAAATGTGCTACATGTATTACACCGAATTTGTATATTTGAAGATTTTTTCCCCGTTAATGACAGATCTACTAGAAATTATAGGGAAAGAATGGAGCAACTAATAGGATATTCGGGGGATATCATACATGTACTTAAAATACATCGACAGTAACATATATCTTACTCATTCCATAACTTCAATTTCTCGGCAAGTGACAAATATAGCTAAGATTTTAGTCGAACTTATAATCTATAAAGACTAGTTAAAAACTATAAAAAGCGATTTTATATTCATAAATCTCGGCTGAACCAACGGTAAATATTTATAGAAATGTCTCTTGCACCTGTGCTCAATGGAGTATTTCAAGGGGATGTTGGGAAGGATATCCGCAAACACCCCTACACCCCCCCCCCCACCCCCCCCACACAAATACACACAGACACACACTAAAAATTCTTATAATACATCTTAATTTTGTTTGTATAAGACTCTATCAATAAAGTGTGAACAAAAGCATGTGTGGCTTTCGATATTTTAATAGAGAAACTTACGAATTTCACCGAGTATACGGGAGCATTTTTCCTGGTGGGGGTAGGTTTCTAGAATTTTTTTTTTTTTTTTTTTGAATATTTAATATAAAAAAGGGGATCATTATCCAATATCATATAAAATCGCTGGGGATTTATATATATTTTAACAGAAATCCATTTGCTATTTGCTAAGGGACCTGTATAAACGATAAGAAGTCGATCCCCACCCTGTTCCAGTCACACCTCTCTCCCTGTCCCAGTCAACCCACTTCTCGTTAGTTCTTGATCATACACAAATCGATCGATAAAAGGGTTCAATACAAATTTATTTCGGGGGCAGGTGGGGTATCTCAAATAAACGGATTATCTACAGTATATTTACATGTACGTCAAGTACTACAATATCAATGCTGCCTTGTGGAGAATTGTTGTGCCTTACACCTTTAAGTAAGTAAGTTTTATTCAAAGTCGGCATTTTGTACAATGAAATAACAAATAACATAAGCTCTGTAAAGCTCTTATACCGACTATCACAACTAAAAATATCACCTGTTTAATCAGTAAAAATTTGTTTTATATTTCTGAGGACTTTTCCACAGATTAACTCTTTATTATTTTTTTAATGATTCATTTATAAGATTTCACTGATCTGTTACAAATTATTGAGGGTGACGTCACAATGGCTTGAAAACTCTCGATTTGCACACTAAATATGCACCTCTTAGAAGTGGGCGGATCATGGATCTTCAAATTTCAAAGACCGATTTCTGTACTAAAGACATTCCAGTTTCCTTTCCTCTTGTGATATTCAATTACCTGCTTTAAGGAGAACTTTTTACAAACAATTAAAAGTACGTGTGCTAAACAGCAAAGACAGTATGCCTTATATTACGCACAATGCTTAATCGCCATTTTGCTTTAGAAAAGTTCGGGAAAACAGTGTACCTGTGACGTCGTATTTTACGACTGTGACGTCGAGTAGTGGTTGTCTGCATTAGGAAGCTGCTGTAAATTTGGTAGTGTTTACATCGCTGCGTTTTTCTGGGCGTTTCGTGGGATTTAAAAGTTGTTACAGTTGTGAAAACACATGTAGGTGTTAGCAGTTGTCGTGCTGATTACGCATCGGTATGTATTTTCGTTAGCTGCGAGTCATTTCTTCAGTCAGGTCTTCATTCATAGGGACTATGAAGCCGTGCGTTGTTGGCAATGTTTAATGGATATCTACAACTTGGAAGGAACGTTTTGCGATAGCAGTGGAGTCGTAGGATAATTTAATGACGGACATTCGATGGATTATTTTAATATCGCCGTTTGATTGCAGAAAACTGCAGAATTTAGCGAGAAAATAATGACGCATGCGCAGATGGGGGTTAGTCGATTTTTGATGCCAGGCATCGACTAACCCCCATCTGCGCATGCGTCATTATTTTCTACAGATAACAACAGTAGAACACCAGATACACTGCATAAAAGGCATTAACCCTAGAAATGATAATTATGATCAATAAAAACAATAAAAATATGAAATTGAAACACAATAAAAACATGAATGAATAAAAATAAACAATAATTCAATTATATTAGCTTCTTATATACACACTTACCCATTTAGACAGTATCTACTACAGTGAAAACTGATATTTCAAGCAAAACTAAGTTAGTCTTCAGGCACTACACCTGATTTCAAAATTTTCTGAAAATCCAGGATTTATAATTAGTCTAAGATTAAATAATTCCCTGTTCTGATGATTTTGATTTTTATGGACATGCTCAATTCGTAAAAAATTAACGCGTAAAAATTTAAATCAACCTATTTTAACCAAAATTAGTAAAAATTTACAGCAGTAAAAATAACCCGTTATACAGTATTTCATAAATGGTTTCTTAAGTCTAGCAAATTGTTTAGTCATAGTAGTAAGTAGCATGGGCTCTGATTTAAAAAAAGACATTATACATGTACGTATATGAGTCTTTGTTCCTTGCTTTTATAATATATTAAATGTGTTATTCACAAAACGTTTTCATCATGGCGAGTGAAATATCTGTTGATGGCAACCAGAAATTCTGAAATGGTGACCAAAAAAAAATTTGGGTTGCCATTAGCGACCTGATAGTAGTGTGACTTGGAGCACTGTGATAGTCCACTTTCTAAGGCTGTAGATAAGAACAAGACTAACAAAGGAAGCAAGAGTGCAAGGACAACAACTTCAGAGAAAAAGGATGCAGGAGGGAGTGAGAATCCAAAAGTGTAAATGTGAGGGAGCAGATGCAGCAAAGAAGGGAATGAGAGCTAAAAGCTGGGGAGATGCTAATTTAATATGGCATTTCTTCTGCTGTTTTTATGTATTTTTGATCCCTTATATATTCCCCCATTCTCACTCTGTTTCCCTTATATTTATTTTGTTTTGTTCCATACTTTGTGGACCATAATCCCTTTGTTTCCTTTAGGTTCCCTCCCTTTGAGTTGTCACACTATTTCCCAAAATTTGAGAAAGCAAGTGACATTGATCTTAGAGGTTTGATTTTAATTAAATTGCAATTATTAAACAGTTTGGGTTGAGACTGAAATGTGTCAATTGGAAAATGATGAATACTAGTCATACTTTTTTTTATGATGACTTAAACTCATCATTTTTAGCTCAACTCGACAAATTCGAGAACAGCTTATGCTATTAATACCTCCGGCATTGGTGTCGGCATCCTGGTTAAAGTTTTTGAAGCAAGTCCATTCCCAAGTAACTATAAGCCCTAACTGGACCAAACTTGCATGGATGATGCATCTAGGGATGTACACTATCACACTTGCTTCAGGTGCTGGATCTGACTTGGATTTTCCACATGAATGAATTTTAGCCAAATTTTTGGTTAATGGATAGACACTTCCAGACTTGTTTCAGATACTGAATCTGACCTATATTTCACAGATGAGTGACCAGGGTAATGTTTTTGGAGTATTATTGCCTGTTATGATTAAACTTGCATAGATGGTGCATCTAAGGATGGAAACTTCCAGACTTCCTTTGGATGTTGGAACTGACCAAAGTTTTCTTGATTAGTAAACAGGTTAAAAGTTTTTTTTAAGCAGGTCTATTTCCAAGTAACTATGAGTCCTTAAACCAAACTTGCATTGATATTGATCTTGGGATGTACACTAACTAGAAAAAAAAAATGATGTGAGATTTGCCTTACTTATAGATAACATTCGTCAAGGTGAGCTTCATAATCTTTGATTACCCATGTTTTATTATTTAAATTTATTGTCAAAACATTTCTCTACACTTACATGAATTGCAAGACAATGTACTGTGTATTATTATTGGCTTAAAAGCCATGAAAAAGTAGCAAACTTGTTCTACCAAAATTCGGCATTTTACCTATAAAATAACAACTTTCACCTTCTGTGTTGATGTTCTAATGCACGTGGTCAGCAGAAAGAACTGCGAACGATAGCATTGTTCTCCCGCCTACCTCCAAGTCAATTTTCAAAAGTTAACATATTTTGATGATTTTTCATATTTATATAAATATTTATATGAATTTTCATAAAACATTACTTCTTTGGGAAAACAAAGAGAGATAACTCTATAATTTGGGTAAAATTTGTGCTTTTCACAATAGAAATCAACGGAAAATATTTTTAAAACATCTTTCCCCCCCATGAAACAAAAATTCCTTTTTACACGTAATATGGATTGTCATTTTACAAATTCATACCAAAGCTTTTTGTGTTTCACGGGGGGGAACGTATGTTTACAGCCAAATAACTACAAAAATGCTTATTTTTTCACCAATTTCAAAGGGTTTTACAACTGAAATATTGTATTTATTAAATAATATATGTTTAATTTTATATGCGTAAAACATAAGAAAAGATTTTAGGAACATTTATTCATATCCAAGAATATTTTAAAATGTGTTGATGCTTTAAAGCCCGATTTCAATGGAAAATATCGTCTACCCCCCTTATTTTAAGAGCTGAAATTAGGAATAATTAACTATTTAACACTGGCATTAAAATTATCAGTCAATTACCATTGAACTGTTCTTTGCATTCAACAAAGATTTTACGGTCAAATTGTCATAAGTATTGAATTAAATGGGTGTAAAATGTAGGCAGGAATCGAAAGTTAGCGTGTGTAGTTCTTAGTAACCTTGATGAAATGAAAGTCACGTAAACACTTCTTGCAGCAGTAAATTCAAAACTTGCTTTAACAGGGGTAGAGGAATAAAGTTGAAAATAAAAATATGATTGTTAGTCATATTGACAAAGAATGACGAAAAAAAGTAATTACAATGGTTAGTACACATGACAATTATCCATCATTTTTCAAAATGAGGGATTTCAGTTTCACCCCTGACTGTTTAAAAAATAAAAAATATTCTATCTTATTAGCTGACAGCATGTGTTCAAACAAGCGATATAAAATTGGGCCACCAGAGGTGAACACTGGTTCAAAAGAAACATCAAAAGATACATCAAAAGTTAACTCAGAGCCAAACACAAAAGACAGTGAAGAGAAATTGACTTCTTCTCCAGATGTTCAGCCTGCTTCCATTGTAAGACCCTCTGAGGAGAAACAGGTCAGTAGATTAATGGCTAATCCCTGAGATAGCCACTTGCAAATGCAAGTAAATTTGCCTGTGGGCGACCAACTCTTGAGGGTATTATTGCCCACATGGCAAGTAAGAATTTTATCGTACATTTTCCTAAACCTTATGGTTTGGTTCTACTATTAAATGCACTTTTGTTTTCACTATACATTTTCAAAACCAGAATCATTTCCATGAAATTTTTCCTTGAAAGTATTATCAATGGTTGCAGGTTTTACTCTGGTAGTTCATATCCTATTAAGGTGCTCACTGTGCATTTTTCACATTTAGCAGCTTTATATTCATTAATTTTCCTCCTGAAATTAAAATGTTGAAAATGTTTTCTGATTTTTTGCTGCTACCATGGGTAAAAATATTTCACTTTATGAACTATGAAAGTCAGTAATGTACACTTTCTGTTGGTAAAGTATGCTTTCTGAAATTTTATGATAGGAACATATAATTCAAAATACATATTTTGAAGTGAATGAAAACATGGAATTCTATACTATTTGTTTTTGAAATCCCCAGGAAAAATGAAATGAAAGACTGTGGACAGGAATGTATTTGGGATTATTTTTACCAAATGAACAGTAAATAGTGGGCCCCTAAATATCAACTTTAGTAAAACTTGTGAAGTTGGGAGCCCAAATGGCCCCTAAGTTAAAAATGTTATTTGCAACCTTGATAGCAATATCATTACTCAAGCATGCTAGGTGTTCTTTTGACTTGTTGACTTAGTGTCACATAACCTCTAGCATCCATTGTTAGAAATTCTCCAAAGTGGAAATAAATTGTTTAAATGAAAAAATATTCATTATTAATTTTCAATAAAACTTACAATTAAAACAATGTAAATTTCTCGTACTAGAGATCAATCCATGAGTATTGATTATTTTTAGACCTGAAGCAGAAATCAAAACAGGTTATCTAATTAGAATTAAGGAATGGAATACATGTAGAAAAACTGACAAACAAAATTACTTGTTCCTACATAAAATAATAGAAATTTCCTTTTCTATAATAACAATCACAAAATTAATGATGAATTAAATTTCAAATATAAAAACTTTGAAAAAAATGTGAGTGCAATAATTTGAATTTTGATATCTTAAAAATGTATAGTGATTGAAATTTATTCTTTTCACCCTCTATGGGACACACAATAAATTCGCTTTATCCGTAAATTCTTTATATCGGAGTTCATTATAATCATTCAACTTTGCCAGGGATTGTAAAAATCAAAAAAAAATTCAGAGTTTTCAAACTCCCTGCTTCTGTTTTTCGCAATAAGAAAGCTTCAAAAAAGATTTACCGACCTCAAAAAATTCATTTGCCAGGTCTGACAAGTATATTGACAGTTTGCCTGAATGTAGAAATTCCTTGCCCTGGCAATTGGACAACTGTTATTAATGTCAATCCCTTACAAATTACTTGTTGAATTAGACTATAATTATTCATGTAGTACGATTTTGATATTTAATTTCATTTTATCAAGACTGAGAATGAAGTCGAAGAAATCCATCTTAAGGAATTGAGGACATCCTCTGGGAAATCCACAGGAAAAAAGGTAAATAAATCGCTTACAGTGGTGAGTAGAACATCATTTATGAGGTTGATCACTCTTCATTAACTTCACATTTTTGAGTATATATAAAGCTCAAATGTTATCCTTTCTGAAAAGCAAGTCAAAATTTGATGCTAATAACTAACTGTATTGATGTTTTGAGGGACATTTTGTGCATTAGGGAATTAAAGCATGGGAATGTCAATGCAAAGAACCCTCAGGTTGATTTAACAGGGTAAAGTTTAAAGCAAGTCAATTTTCAAGTAACTTTAAGCACTTTACCTGAATCAGACTTTTATGGATGTTCACTAGCTGGCTTCCTCTGGATACTGGACTTGATCTACATTTCATGGATGATTCAATAAATCAAGTTTTCGAAGAATGTTTAATCCAGAGACACTAGAAAACTTACCCAGACTTGAATTAATGTTGCATCTAGGGATGCTGTATAAACAAAATATTTATTTGGTGTGAGACTTAATTTGCCTTATGAAAGAAAACATTCTTTGAGGTGAGCATAGTAATCTTTGATTACAGATGTTTGTTTCATTGCCAGTTGGTTAATGTATTTGAGTGTATCAGACAATGGGGATTAAATGGTCATGCTTAAAAATTCATATTATAAAGTTATTTATGTATGAGCATATAACTCAACATTATACTTTATGATAGTTAATACAGTAATAACAAAATAGTGAAAAGAATTCTTCTGTCTCAGATAAATTAAGTTGGCCATTTATGTACAGAAAATAACTTAATATCTGGCCATTGTGAGAGGGAATGTGCTAGGTTTGCAACACGTATTCAAGCACTATTGTTTCATTCAGACTGAAGTGTGTTAGGGAAAATGGGAGTGTATTAGCACTTGCAAGTAAATACATCTACTTTACAATTTGCTACAGAGTACAAAACTATTTTGTTTATTCCTGATTATCCTATTTCTGTTCATTTAGGGTAACATATCTTCATCAATAAGTGTATTTCTTTTTATTTTACACTTCTGTTGATCCTTTAGTTTTGTAAAAGGTGATCTGTTAAGGCCCTCGGGCCTCTTGTCAATATGACAGTTCCATTAGTATTTTTACAATGCCTCACTTTTTCAAGGACACATCCATACAGCTAAAATATCTTAAGTTCCTTTTTTTTTTTTTACACAGAGACCTGGACGTATGTGTGTATTTTGTAAAAAAGTATTGAATGGTGGATTAAAAAAGCACATTAAAATTCATAAGAAAACTCACAATGAAGTAAGAGAAATTCTACAACAGCCCTTAGAAACCCAGAACAAGTGGTTTAACCAGAAACGAATTGAGGGAATTTACCAGTATAACCTCAAACATTACCAATCAGACGATGATCAACTTATGAGAGAGAGACGGTCCAAAAATCCAGACAGCTTACGTATGTGCAATAAATGTAGGAGATTTTATTCCCATAGAACCTTTTTCAGACACAAGGTGCATTGTGGTACACAGTGTGAAGGTCTAAAAAAAGATCTGTTCAAACCTTCTGATGGTCATATGGATGAAAAGTTTTTAACAGGAATCTTAAACAAATTTCGAGATGGGGAAGTAGGAAATCTAATAAGACAAAATAAAATAATACAGATGTTTGGTTATAAACATTTCTTGTCAAGAAAAGTTGAATCCGCCATACCAAGTAAGTTTAGAAACGGCATCATGACGGAAATGCGGGAAATCACTCGACTGTATCTTTGCTTTAAAGCATTAATGGAAGGGTCTGTGGTCTCTGTAGAGGACATGTACAAACAAGAAAATCTAGGAGTGCTGAAAGATGCCCTTAACAAACTTTGTAGAGATGAAAATGGTGAGAAGCATGGCATTAAACTTGTTATAAATGCCATCTTCCTAAGAACCATCAAAAGACTGACTGACTTTTATAAAGAATGTGGGGAAAATTCCAAAGTGGAGGAAACAACAAAATTTGGTGAAGAATACAAGCTCTCTGTGTCAGAAATCATTGCTGAGTCCCAACATCAAACCCAAGCGAATATGTGGAAGGAGGAAAAACGAGATGTTTCCTCAGCTAGAGGTAAACAAAAATAATGCTTCTGTATACATGTAATAGACTTCATTGCTAGAAAATATCCTATGTCTGGATTCAAACTTTTGTAGATAATATTTTGGTTGTTAAATAGTAAACCAGCTTGTAAGTTTGTAACAAACCAAGGTTGATTTTTAGCTCACCTGGACGAAGTTTTAGGAGCAAGTCCATTCCCAAGTAACTATTAGCCCTACCTGGATGATGCATCTAGGGATGGACACTACCACACTTGCTTCAGATGCTGGATCTGAACTAGATTTTCCAGATGAGTGACTAGGTCAAAGTTTTTAGAGCAGGTCTATTCCTAGGTAACTATAAGCCCTACCTTGACCAAACTTGCATGGATTATGCATCCAGGGATGGACACAACCACACTTGCTTTGGTGGCTGGATCTGACCTAGATTTTCCAGATGAGTGACCAGATTAATGTTTTGGGAGCAGGTCCATTCCCAATTAAATATAAGCCCTATTTGGACGAAACTTGCTTGGATGATGCATCTAGAGATATACATTAACCAGCCTGCTTCGGATGCTGGATCCAACCTAGATTTTCCACATGAGTGGATTTTAGCCATATTTTAACCAAATTAGCATGGATGAGGTCTCTAGGGATGGATACTTCCAGACTTGCTATGGATTCTGAATCTGACTTACATTTTCCAGTTGAGTGACCAGGGTAATCTTTTGGAGTAACTATATACATGTGATATTATGGCCTGTTATGATTAAACTTGCATAGATGGTGCATCTAAGGATGGAAACTATTAGACTTGTTTTGGATGTTGGAACTGAAAATTTTCTTGAATAGTAAACAGGTTAAAAGTTTTTTGAGCAGGTCGATTCCCAAGTAACTATAAGTCCTACTTAAACCAAACTTGCATGGATATTGCTCTTGGGATGTACACTAACTAGAAAAATAATATGATGTGAAATTTGCCTTACTTATAGATAACATTCATCGAGGTGAGCTTTATAATCTTTGATTACCTATGATTCATCCCACAGGGGGTATTTAATGCTCTGAAGTATTTGGACATCTGATAAAAGTAAAAGTATTCACTCATTGATTTTCATCTCTCATATAACCTAATTAAAGGCTCGAGTATTTAAAAAAATAAGATTTTTAGGCCATGGAGATTGCTAATTCTGTTTATTGGATTTTGTCAAGGTTAAATTATAGCAGTATATTTGTTAAGTTCTTTCAGAGTACTACTTCTACAGTTTTGGTCTGATTTCAGTAAAAAGTGGTACACAATTGACAATGTCAAGATGCATGATTCTGCATATTCATTTCTTTATATCAATGTCATGTTGCTCTGATTACTTAGAGTAGAGTAAATGAAAATTCTCCCAAAGATATAGTACGGTTTGCATTAATCTTTGTACTTAGAGTAGAGTAAATGAAAATTCTCCCAAAGATATAGTACGGTTTGCATTAATCTTTGTACTTAGAGTAGAGTAAATGAAAATTCTCCCAAAGATATAGTACGGTTTGCATTAATCTTTGTACTTAGAGTAGAGTAAATGAAAATTCTCCCAAAGATATAGTACGGTTTGCATTAATCTTTGTACTTAGAGTAGAGTAAATGAAAATTCTCCCAAAGATATAGTGTGGTTTGCATTAATCTTTGTACTTGGAGTAGAGTAAATGAAAATTCTCCCAAAGATATAGTGCGGTTTGCATTAATCTTTGTACTTAGAGTAGAGTAAATGAAAATTCTCCCAAAGATATAGTGCGGTTTGCATTAATCTTTGTACTTAGAGTAGAGTAAATGAAAATTCTCCCAAAGATTAAGTACGGTTTGCATTAATCTTTGTACTTAGAGTAGAGTAAATGAAAATTCTCCCAAAGATATAGTACGGTTTGCATTAATCTTTGTACTTAGAGTAGAGTAAATGAAAATTCTCCCAAAGTTATAGTGCGGTTTGCATTAATCTTTGTAAATATTTAGAAGGCATCAGACACATGCAATATGTAATTTTTATGCCCCACCATGAATATGGCAGGGGCTTATAGTGTTTTTAGCTCACCTGAGCCTTCAAGTGAGCTTTTCTGATTAAAATTTGTCCATTGTCTGCCATCTTTGTTGTCATCGTTAACTTTTCACAATTTCATCTCCTTCTCCTGATCTAGAACCACGGGAGTTTTGACTAAACTTTCTGCAAAGCATCCATGAATGAAGGGGATTCAAGTTTGTTCAAGTAAAGCGCCCTGTTTCAAAGGGAGATAGTAAAGAAATAGTGAAAATTTGGTGGCATGTTTTTAAAAATCTTATCAAGAACCACTCGTCCGTCTGTCTCTCTGTCTGTCTGTCCATCTGTGTGTAAACAATTTTTCAAAATGCTACTCCTCCTACAGTTTTGGTCTTATTTCAGTATAACTTGGCACACAAGAAGACTACACTAATATACATAATTCTGTGTACTGGTTTCAGATTTCAACGAACTGTTTTGCCATGGTTTCTTAAAAAAAAAATTGCTTCGCCTACGGTTTGGTCTGATTTTAATATAATGTGGCATGCAAGTAGACTACACTGAGATACATAATTCTTTATTATGTCTCCCCTTCCAGGGGAGACATATTGTTTTTGTCGATTTTCTTCTTCTTCTTCTTCTTCTTCTTCTTCATCCAAATTTTGTCCAGGCCGTAACTTTAATACCCTTTGACATTAAGACTTCAAACTTGGAACATAGATAGATGACATTGAGAAGGAGTGCACGCTACCAACATTTTTGACCTTGACCTATTTATAAGGTCAAGGTCAATCTTTTACATCAAAATAGAGTTTAGCCCATAACTTGAGATCCCTTTGATATTAGGACTTCAAACTTGTAACATAGGAAGAAGACCTTGAGACAAAATGCAGTGCATTAGAATTTTGACCTTGACCCCTTTCTGCCTTCAAGGTCAAATAGGGAAAAAACATGATCTGACCATAACTTGAGAACCTTTTGACATTAAGACTTCAAACTTGGAACATGCAGAGGTGGTATAAAGGAGGGATGCATGCCACCAAAATTTTTGACCTTGATTCAATTATTATAAGGTCAAGGTCAATCTTTTACATCAAAATAGAGTCCAAGCCGTAGCTTGAGTACCCTTTGATATTAGGACTTCAAACTTGTAACATAGAAAGAAGACATTGATACAAGATGCAACACACCAAAATTTTTGACCTTGACCTCTTTTCTTCCTCAAGGTCAAATAGGGAAAAAACTTGATTAGACCATTACTTAAGAATCCTTTGTTATAAAGACTTCAGACATGGAACATGCAGAAGTGGTATGAAGGATGGATGCATGCCACCAAAATTTTTGACCTTGATCCAATTATTATAATGTCAAGGTCAATCTTTTACATCAAAATAGAGTCCAGGCCTTAGCTTGAGTACCCTTTGATATTAGGACTTCAAACTTGTAACATAAAAAGAAGACATTGTTACAAGATGCAACGCTTCAAAATTTTGACCTTGACCCCTTTCTTCAAGGTCAAATAGAGAAAACATGACTAGACCATAACTTGAGAACCCTGACATTAAGACTTCAAACTTGGAACATGGAGAGGTGGTATAGAGGAAGGGTGAATGGCAACATTTTTTCACCTTGACCTATTAATAAAGTCAAGGTCAATTGTTTACATGAAAATATAGTCTAGGTCATAACTTGAGAACTTTTTGACATTAGGATTTCAAACTTGGAACAAGGAAAGACAACATTGAGACTAAATGTAATGCATCAAAATATTTGACCTTGACCACTTTCTTCAAGGTCAAATTAAGAAAAACACAACCAGACCATTACTTGAGATGCGTTTGACATGAAGACTTGAAATTTTGTACACAGAATTTGAGTTGAGATGCACTGCATTATTATTTTTGACCCTGATCATATATTTGCACTCGTTAATGTTGGTAAAGAAGGGGAGACATGTGTTTTTTTGTAAAAAAAACAATACCCACTAGTTGTTTTTTGATTTTGATGAATGATGTTGCCAGGGTAACAAAAATCGAAATTTTTCTTAAATTCTTTTAAAAGGCTACTCCTTCTACAGTTTTAGTCTGATTCATCTTGCCACAAAAAGAGAGTAAAGAGAGTAAAACAAGGATTATTATTTATTTATTGCTGTTACAAAGTTTAAGTCCAAGTGCTACTCTTCTCTTCCTTTGTTATAAGTACAAACCAGTAGAGCTACAGTCTCTATAAAAATAAAACCCCAAAAAATCAAAGTTAAAGGCATTTGCTTACAGTCAAACCTGTATTAAGCAGTCACCTGCAGGAATCATTAAAAGTGACCTTTATAGAGAGGTGACAATTATGTTAGTTCTGTGTTTTACAATTCTACATCATAGAATATTAAAGATGTGTATTGGACATCAGTGGTCTCACTAAGATTTTTTTAATTTTAATTTTAAATATTCTCAACATTAAGTTCAAGCTAAATTTGATGACTCCAACAAAAAGTAAGGCATTGCATTATCCACCATCCAAACAACAAAACTTTAAAATTTCTTTTAGCAGTTTATTATAAGAAATTATAGTGTAATGCCATGAATAAAATACAAAGTATTTTTATATAAACTGCATCTAAAAAACCATGTTAAGTTACGTAAAATCAACAATTGTATGTTTAAAAATACACAAATTGTGCATAATAAATAGACAAGTTGTGTACTCTCAGTTGATCAAAGTAGTGCACAATACAAATTGATATCAAATTCACTTAAGGAATGAATTTAAAAGATACCCAATTTATACGGTATAAAGTGAGTTGGGGCAGTTTACGCTTTATAAGCCATGAAGCGGTTTATAAAAAAGCATAAACTGTTCCAACCCACTTTATACAGTATAAATTGGGTAGCTATTAATTTCATTCCTTATAATTTAATTTTCATTCATTTAGTGTAAGAAAAAAGATGATGCCCTTAAAAAATGACATCAGATTGTACAGAATTTAAATGTAACATCAGGTGGATTGATACGTTTTTGA